TCATTCTAAACCCGTAAGACCTTCGTTCATCTTCGGAACACAAATTAAAATATTTTTGATGAAATCCGAGAGCTTTCGGACACTGCACAGACAGCAAGGGTACTACCACGATCAAGGCATATTCAACAATTCGTCTCCTCCGCGTCACCCTATAGCGCCATTTTAGAGAGAATCACGATGCATGTGCGTACACAAAAAGTATTCTTGTAACTTCGTAAAATTATGGTTGAACCACTGATGTCACATGGACCATTTTAACGATGTCCTTACTGCAACCTCATATTGGCGAAATGAGTGTCCATGGCTCCTCCGGTAGGGAAATTCTGACTCATCCTTTTCATTAGCTGAGTGAAACAGCTGTAGGCCAAGCACTCTTTAGAGGGGGTAAAAAAGAAGAGAACATAATTATAAAAATAGAATATTTTATATGCAATTTTAACCGAAAAATTTTAATGTTGAAAATAGATTCTAATCTAAAAATAAGTTAAATAACATTTAAATACATAAAATTAGGCCAAGCACTTCAGAAGGGGTTAAAGAGAAGGGAATATTTTTATAATAATATTTTATTTTATATAGAATTTAATCTGAATTCTTAATATTGACATCTTAATTTGTGTTCCGAAGATGAACGAAGGTCTTACAGGTTTGGAACGACATGAGGGTTAGTAATTAATGACAGAATTTTCATTTTTGGGTGAACTATCCCTTTAAACAGTGCATTAATGTACCGTATAAGAGGAGAAAGATGGTGCAGTGCCCTCAGTGGTGGTTGTGAGTTTGTCCAGCTGATTGCAGAGTTTGTCCTCACTCAGAGAGTCCCGTCCACCCTGCTCCTCCAGTACCCCAGTGGGTGTAGTGTCCTCCTCCATGCTCTGTCCGTCATCGATGCTGGACATGATTTGGGAATGTCCAGATGCTACGGAGTAGTTCCTGGAGGAGGGCAGGCCTGAGTCTGGAGAGTCAAACTCCACCAGCGGCCTCTCGTCTGGAGCTAACATGGCCGGGGTAACCACAGTGGTTAAGGTGGGAGTACTTCCTCCCTCACATGAGGTGTCGTGACCCCCTGTGTCAGGCTCATCCATGGACATGAATACCTAAAGACAGAGAAGAGATGGGATGGATGGGATATGATGACGCAACATAATGCTAGATTTACTTTATGCTATCTAGAATTCAAGTGTTGAAATATGAAATCAAAAAATATTTAACACAATATTTGTGTGCCACACTATTATGCTTATTAAAGTACTGAAGAGTTAGCTTGGCATGCTAACATGAAATGATAATAATTTTATTCAGTACTTAAAAGTACTGAAATGTGTAATCAAAAATATTTCTGTGTGCTACACATTGATGCTTATTATTGAAAAATTAGAATAGGACCATTTCTTACAAAATGAACCATGGTTTTATTATAGTAAATCTGTAGTTTGTATATGTAGTTCTATCTGTATCTGTAATCTGTAGTTTTTGCGTATTGATTACCATTTGTATAACCACAGTTTTACTACAAATACCATGGTTAAAAACTATGGTTAGCATAGCAAGACCATGAATAATTTGTGGTTACCATGGTTTAACTATAGTAACCATGGTTTTCTGGTTTTATTTGTAGTAAAACCATTGTTAATTTTCATAAGGGATACTACCAAATAATAAACAGACTCAAAAGTATTGAAATGTGTAATCAAAAGCAAACAATTTTACCTATTTGTGTTCCATACATGTTTATGCTTATTAAAGGTGTCATTCAACAAGCTGATATGATTCTTTAGGGTCTTAATGAAAGATCTATAACATACTTTGGTTAAAATTTCTCAATGGTAGCGTAAAAAACACCCTTTTTACCCTGTCAAAATCAGCTCTGTTTTCAGCAAGCTGTATTAGTCCATGTTGCTTTAAATGCTAATGAGCGCTGCTCACCCCGCCCCTCTCTTCCATGGGGTGATGAGCAGACTGTAAACTTCCCGCGATTTGCAAAGATTCATAAAAAAACCAAAAGCCAAAGCTCACTCAGGGCGGGTCTAAGGTAAGACGGCCTTGTCAATCAACTATTGTGGGAGGGGCCTGTGCAGAACTACTTCATTCTGCCAGGAATCTCAGAACAGCCTGATTTGAGAAAGAGGGTTTTAAAATAGGGATTTAAAATAAACACTGGGTGGATTTTTATCATTATAGGGTGGATGTGTACACACACTTCCAACACACATTTATGTTCAAACAACATGTAAAGTGAATTTTGCATCCGATGACCCCTTTAAAGAATTGAGCAGTTAGCTTAGCAACATGCTAAAACCAAATAGCAAATAAACATACATTTCATTAATTACTCAAAATTATGTAATCAAAAACAAACAATTTTACCTAATATCTTTGTGTGGCATGTATGTTTATGTTTATTAAAGTATTGAACAGTTAGCTTATACCAACACCACATTATTAATAAACATTTAATACTTAAAAGTATTGGTATGTAATCAAAAACAAACTATTACCAAATATTACTCAAAATCTGTGTATGCTTATTAAAGTATTGAACAGTTAGCTTAGCAACATGCTAACATCATAAATAACATACATTTCATTCAATACTCAAAAGTATTGAAATTTGAAAAAAAAAATTAACTGTTTTACCCAATATCTATACGTGGCATGTATGTTTATCCATACTCAAGTTCTGAGTGGTATTGAAGAGTGTAATCAAACAAACAAAAAAAAATAGAACAATAGTTGTATCAGGCACATAATTATGTTTACCGTTATCAAAGTATTGACCAGTCAGCATAGCAACATGCTAATTACAAACTATATTAAAATTAACTGCAAGTAAGAAAGGAACTGTTTTATGTGCTATATTAAGGTTCTGCTTTATAAGAGAATCCCAAGCATTCACTTAAGAGATTCTGTGAGTGTTAGGATGCTGCCTAAGGCAGCTTGCTAGGTTTGTAAGTAAATAACCTATACTTACTTAAACAGAGCTTGCGACTGACCTCGTTGCTAATGGTGGAGTCCCTATGGATGAGTCTGAGGACGTGGCTGTCTATACTGCTCCCTGACGACAACTTGGCAAAGATGGCCGACTGCATCTCTTTTTCCCGCTGCTTCACAATGACCTCACATGCCTTCCACTCCCGCATCACCTGCTGATACCTTGCTGTGATCTTCTCATCAATCTACGAAACACACGAGGGCACATCAGACAATCAGAACGTACATCACACCAGAACAAACTATTGTGACAAAGAAGTGTGCTTATAAAACTTTACCTGAGCCATGTCTTTCTTGTCCATCCCAAACTTGTAGTGGCCCAGCAGAAATGGCCACACCTCCTTTCTGATCTCATGCTCCACCCCTCCATAGTAAACCAACCTCAGCAGCTCCAGCTCCTTATAATTCTGGCAAGAGAGAAAAAGGGACAGATGGAGACAGCGGGACTACTGCAACCTACGGTAGATGTCACTGACCGCTAGTACCCTCTAGTGACCGGAGCTGAAGAGTACTAGGCTAACCTTACAGTCTTTCTGATATTTACTCCACACATCTTTGCTGAGCCCTCCAGAGGCTTCACAGGGCTTGTCCGGAGGGACAATGTTGTGGTTGACCAGTGCTGAAAGGTGCGTCCTCACAGTGGACAGGTGCCGACAATAGGCCAGCCCTACAGATGGAAAAGTGGCATAAGAGCATTACAACACTGTATGCACAGCTGAGGGTGTTTTATACTAATTGATATGAAAAATTGCACAGATTTTCTTTGGACTTACAGCCATAAAACGCTCGAGACACAATCTGTCTCTTCATATTTTGGCACAGCATCTTCAGTGGAATACTGGACACAGAAGGGAAACATCCGTTATATCTTTCGATACAGGAAGACTAGTCAGATGCTTTTGCAAAAACATATGCAAACTACAGCCAAACTGCATATATATTGCACTCAGTAAAATATTTAACATATGTGACCCTGGACCACAAAACCACTTAATTTTTAATTAGTAATATGCATTGCTAAGAATTTTATTTGGACAGATTTAAAGGCGATTTTCTTAATATTTTGATTTTTTTTGCACCCTCAGATTCCAGATTTTCAAATAGTTGTATCTCGGCCAAATATTATCCTATCCTAACAAAGCTTATTTATTCAGCTTTCAGATGATGTATAAATCTCAATTTTCAAAAATGGACCCTTATGACTGATTTTGTGGTCCAGGGTCACATATGGGTGTTGTTGTTGTTGTTGTTTTTATTTGAGTACCTATGTCCCAGGGATTTTTGGTAATATGAAAGTAACTTTAAAAATGTCTTGGAAATTTTTCATTACGCTTTCATCACTTTTTGCTGATTTATGTATCAGTTTTACTGTCAGATTTGACATCTTAAAATATGAAAATTAATTGACAACCAAAACAAACAAAGAAATAAACAATTTCAATATTTATTGTGTGATAATGATCTATATAAATCTGTACAAAAAAAAACTGATGTGGCAATGTGGCATCATTCTCGCTACAACCAACAATATTAATACTAATGAAGTTTTCACTATGGTTAGTCTCAGAGCAAGTAGTGACCTTGAGATGAAACAAAGAAAAATTAAGAAAAATATCATCACCCTACTGTCATTTCCAGTAAACTGAAATAATTAAGCGTAAGTGTAAGAATTTTATTATTATTTATTTGTACATATTTAGGATGCATGAAATGCTAAGCAAAACAAAGTTGTCTGCCATTTTATTCCAGAAATGTTAAAAATGTCTTTTCCACCACATAATAACAAAACCAATACAGGGTGGAAACAACAATATTATATAAGATTAAATAAGATTATGATATAAGATTATATATTCTATAAAAAAAGATGTACTTTAAGCTAGTATGCATTATATTGACCAAAAATAACAGTAAAGATGATCTTTAATGTTACAGAAGATTTCTGTTTCAAATAAATGCTATTCTTTTAACTCTCTATTCATCAAAGAATCCTGTAAAATAATTAATCATGGTTTTTAACACTGATAATAATTCTAAATGTTCCTTGAGCAGCAAATCAGTGCATTAGAATGATTTCTGAAGGATCATGTGACACTGAAGACTGGAGTAATAGGCTAAGTACTGAAAATTAATTTTGATGTAATTAAATTAGATATTACATTTGTATTAAAATACAAAACAGTAGTATTCAATTGTATTAATAATGAACAATATTGCTGTTTTTATTGTGTTTTTTAACTAATAAAACTCTCACCGGTCGTGCATGCAGGTACAGCTCGCTGGAAGCTCGACGGAAGCGTTGCTGCCCCCAGTGGAGCAGGACAGACAAGATGACATATGACTGGTGCACTCGCCCTGCTGCCATGACAACGGGCTGCCGCCAAAACCCTGCATCTCCATCATGTCCCCATGGTCTACAAGGGCGTGGGAGTGGAATAGACGAAAAAGAGGCAGAGCAAGAGAAAGAGAGAGGAAATAAGAGATGAATAAGCAAACATGAAACCTGCTCTAGTAACCTGCATTTGAAGAACATATTTGAGATATATGATAATATTACTAGGATCATTGAAAATGGGTATTTTCTTTCCTCTCAGAGCTACTCTACAATAAGAAGCTGTTGTGGAAAGCTGCCATATGGGACTTCATTTCACATCCCAGACACCATAATACATCTCTACTGGAAATTAGGCTCTTAGCTTGACTGGAATGGCCATAAAGCATCTTATTCAGCTCAAAAGCCTCAGATTCACTGAATTTCAGGCCTCAGCTCAACCATGAGATAATTAAGGAAGAGTAAAATGCATCCTAAACTGCATTTTAATATATCTGATTTGAATGTTTTATATATTTAGCAATTTGTTAATTTTGAATGGTATTAAGATTAGGGCTGTCAATTAATTAAAGAAATGCATTACATTGATTAAATGCTATATCATACAATTAAAATGAAATACATTTACTCATATCAACTTTGATTGAGAAAACACCTCATTTAAAATTATTTAAAGACATTAAGAAAAGTGTCTGTAGATGTTGTTATATGTGTTTTATTTCCATATTATTGAACATAAAACTATCCGTTTATCCATAGGGGCCATTTACACACAACTGGCTTTTGCATTATGTCTACACTGGGTTTTTTAAACATTAGTCTCTGTACGAATGTTCAACAGTAGAGTCACGTCTTGCTGTTTTTTAGCATCTCTCGCCATGAGCACTCCAATTTTAAGACACCATATCTCTGGTTTAAAGTACTTTGGCTTTTTAAATGTCTTGATATCCCTTTCTTCTGCCCGATTCTCTTGCTTTTTAATGTAAGAACACGTTGCCTGCACTCCATAAGTGTGGTTTGCCAAAAAGCATTGCCTAAAGGTTGTACTTTAAGCTAGAACTGCTCTGTTTAACGTATAGGTGGGGGAACAATTAATTGCATATTTAGTTCTTTTTAAAATAATACCACTAAAAATGATAAATTGACAGCCCGAATTAAGATGTACTTTTCTTTTTCCAGATATTTCTTCCTGTCAGAAACATCCTTAAACACACATAATGAAATCAAAGCAAACCTGAAATATAAGGATATCAAAAACATGCATCTATGAATGAACAGAAGGAAAATGTGTAAAACGATGCGGGGATGCCATGCCAGGACACCTGCCAATCAATCGATCAATCAATCACAGTGTCACAAATCAAGCCAGGAGAGCAGTATAGAAGGACAGACAGTAACCATTCCTACCATGCTGGATGCATCAGATTAAACCATGACAAAAATAAAGACAAATCAAGAAGAGGAATGTATACTGTGTGTCGTTGTATAAAATGTGAAGAGAGTGAATCAACTGAACCAAAAGAGTCGATAGTAAACGTAAATGCTCTTCACCTTAATTCTTCAGGTTGGAGCTGGTGACCTGCTATACACTGGTTGTAACCAAAATAACAATGTGGACGGAGAGCATATATTCAATATCTGTCCCTAAATGGTATGGCTATGATCGGCGGGCGACGCGTTCACGGAACGATTCGTATGTCTACTACACCAGAACCCCACAGGACCTAACTGATATAATGAAAGGTGACTGCAGTTAGTGAAGAATTACAGTGAACAGCATTGCAGAAAACCGGCTCAACACAGGAGGAACACTAAAACAACAACAACGACAACTCAAACCAAAGAGGAAAAGAGAGAATTCATAAAGGGAAGGAGACACAGTTCTGACAAGTAAGCAGTGAAGCGCATTCGCCGCAAAGTTTAAAATGAAAAAGAAATATAATACATAACGTGTGCAAACTTGACATGCAAAGCCCTCAAGCATTTGGCAGTGAAACCAAATAAAGACACAGAACCTAAAAATAACCTAGACTTCTCCAAGGACTTACTCATGTCAACCAAAGAGTGCAAAAGGAAAACAACAAATCATTGGAAGCATTGCTGCCTGGCCACCACAGTCAGGCCCAACAGTGCAGAGAGGAGGAGAGTCTGAGCTCCATGAATGCACATCATACCTCCTAGGGCAGTCGGGTAGTGTCGTGTATGTGTGTGAGAAGGAGAAAGACAAAGGCAGAGTAGTAGTGTGACAACGTGGCAGGGCAGTGGAAGCTCTCACGACTGTGAGAAAGGTTAGCATAGGTAACCCCCGGCAACGGAGGTGTGGAGGGAAAAGAGTGATGACAGCGGAGGAGAGTGAGTCAGGGGGAGAGAGATGTGCACTGTACTGACCTCACACACACACACTTAAAAACCCAAATGTGAAAATAAGGGACATTCAGTTCAGGTTTTGTGTGCATAACGTAACATAACATAACATAACATAACATAACATAACATAATATAATATAATATAATATAATATAATAAAATAAAATACAATACAATATAATTAATATAATATAATATAATATAATATAATATAATATAAAAAATGTTTCAACATTAATATTACGTGAATTAAATTGTTTAATTGTTTAATTTTTCTACATAGTTATTAAAGGTTAAAACTATATACATTTTAGCAAAATAGATTTGTTACATATATATACATATTGTAATTATAACAATTTATTACATTTAATAAATAAAATAAAATAAGAATAAAATAATATATAAATATAAAATAATAATAATAATGTTTCAACATTTTCAACAAATTATATCAATAATCAATTATATTAAAAAAATCAATAATTAGAATTTTCTGACCTAGTTATTTTGGGTTAGAACTATACACATTTTAGCAAAATAGATTTGTTAAACATATATACATAGTGTACTTATAACAATTAATTACATTTAATATAATAAATAAAATAAAATAATGAAATAATAAAACAAAAGAATAAAAAAATCTTTCACAGTTTAAATTATGCAAATAAAACCAATAATTCGAATTTTCTTACCTAATTATTTTGGGTTAGAACTATTCATTTTAGCAAAATAGATTTGTTATACATACAGTATATGCATGTTGTACTTATAACATTATTATTATTAAATTATGGAAATTAAATCAATTCGATTTTTCCTACCTAGTTATTTTAGGTTGGAACTATACACAATTTAACAAAAAACCCTTTCTTACGTAGTTTTCTTATTACTAGAACAGCATGTTCTTGTGGTGTTTAGTGACTTTTCATATATATATATATATATATATATATATATATATATATCCCTTGTTCTCTTGCGCAATGGAATGCACGTGTGCCCCACACACTCAGGGTCTTGTGCCACTTGACCTAGCAGCAAATATTACCATGGTTACAAGCATACAGATCAGGCCAACAACTTTAAGAGTGACAAGGGAACCATGATGCCCGAGGCGCCTACTGTGTCTCAATCTGCCCTCACTGACCGACAACCGGCCGCACTGCTGGGTTGCTGCTTGTGGGGACCAGCTAACAGTTGTGATGGAAAGGAAGTGGGAGGAGAGGAAGGATGAAAGGAAGGAGGGAGAATGAAGTGGGCCACTGGTGATAAAAACCTTTCATGACATTAGGATCTGTGAGGTTCCGTGAGCAGATCATAGAGATCATAGCGTGAAGTCTATCTTCCTCCTCCTCATCGTCGTCCAGAGAGGGCGCACGACTGCCCGTGGTGTGGTGGTAGTTTATAGTGACTGCTTGGGCAATAAAAGAACACAGTTTAGCACCCGCCTCTGAAGCAAAGTCACGTTCCACTCACACACACTGCAAAAAAAATCTTTAAAAAAATGTTTTAATCTTTTTTTTTTTCGTTTTGCAGTAAAATATATAAACATGCTTAAAACGAGCACAACTGCATACCATATTAAGCCTTGTTTTCAGAGAATGCATCTTGAATTAAGTTATTTTAATTGTTTCTACTTATTTTAAACCTAATTTTAAGCCTTATGAAATTTCAATTTATTAAACTTAAAGTCCCCCTGTGGTGAAAATCAAGTTTTTTATGTTGTTTATTCATAGATCCGCGTATAGTAAATGAGGCAAGGGTGTAGAGTTGCATTCAAGCTATTTTAAGGCATGAGAAAATTATTTTCACAAGAAAAAAAATTTAAATATGTAATTTTTATGATCAAAGATTAGTTTTAAAGGATACAATTTTTGACTACAGGGGGACTTTAAATTTAAAAGTTTAACAGAAAAAGGTCATCCTAAAATTTAAAGTTAAAATCTTAAAATTAATTATAAATTGATTTAAAAAAGTATTTCAAAAATTCTAATGTTTAATTATAATTTATTGAATTAAAATGTAATTCAAGATATGTTCTTTGAAAACAAGGCTTGATATCTTAAGTAAATGGGTCTTGTTTTAAGGATGTTTTGATATTTTAACTGGAAATCAAGACAAAAACTGTGTCTTAGATTGTTTATTTTTTTGCAGTGCGTACATACACAGATATAAAAAGGAGCACTTTCATCCCAGTAAGAACAGTTAAAAAATCTAAAGGCTGCGTCTAATACTCACATCCCTCCCAGCAGCCTCCACAACGGCTGTTATGTTCCACAGAAAAGTGAGAACAAAACACACAGACGACAATGATATGTGGGGATGGTGTCTGATGCATATGGGATGACTCAAAATGATTAATAGATGCACGCACAATTATCCATGTACTGCATACATTTTATGCATGTATCTTACTAACCACAAACAAATGCCTTTCAATTTGAGTCTGTGGAATTCGGGATAATCATTTTGAGTCTAATATCATCCCATAGATGCAGCCCTGTTCAGCATTCACACATCTGGGAAATCAGGTCTGGCTGAACAGTGGATGCGAGTTATGGATATGTGAGTACCAATAGGGTTTTAAGATTGGCCCCAAAAAAGTACTTTTGGATGCTTAAGTCACACTTAAAATGATATGAATTTAATTATAATGCAAGATTCATGCATTTTAATGTCTGGTTTTGAAGTGTTCGATGCTTTTGGGGTCACTGTGGATGGATGGACGGATGGATAGATGGACAGATACTGGATGTGCGAAGAGAGACAGAGACAGAGATGTGAAGAGGAAAGGCACATTTCTGCGGAGACTCACTTGAGTCGTGACGGTGCCCCGGATAGACGATGCGAAACACATAGTCTGCAGCGATCTGCTCCTCGCCATCTCCATCCTGATCCACTAAACGGGCCATGCTGTTCCTCTTACGGAGCTTAGGGAAGACTTTACCCTGTTAAGCAAACACACAGAGTCATAATCAAACTAAACTCAGTTTCTCACTTCAAATAAGGAACATTTTGTAATTTATTTGCAGTGTGTCAATGTAACCCCTCTCTCCCGGGTCCTACTCGCACCCGCTCCGAGCGGTACTCAAACCCGGGTCTCCGGCATGGGAGGCGGGTGCACTAACAAGGAGACTAAAGATCAGGGGAGTGAGGTTTACCTGTACAGCGCCTACAGCTGGCCTCCGTTACATCAACAAGCAAAAAACTAGAATCTGATGTTTCTACATCAGAACAGATTTGGAAAAATTTTGCATTACATCACTTGCTCACCAATGGATCCTCTGCAGTGAATGGGTGCATTCACTGGTTAATTCCATTAAAACATCATACTGATGGACTGGAGTCATGTGGATTATTTATTATGATGTTTTAATCAGCTGTTTGAGATCTCATTCTGACGGCACCCATTCACTGCAGAGGATCCACTGGTGAGCAAGTGATGTAATGCTAAATTTCTCCAAATCTGTTCCAATGAAGAAAAACTAATCTACATCTTGGATGGCCTTGAGGGTGAGTAAAATTTCAGCATCTTAATTTTCATTCTATTCTTTAATGATTTGGATGTTTGAAATGTTACTGACTAATTTCAACATTCTATTACATGACTTCTGCAGCAAAACACTCACCTTGCCCTTCTGGGACGAGAGGGGGGGCTCAAGCTGACCACGGGGCAGTAAACCCGTCTCCAAACAGGACAGGAAAGCCAGCAGGTGGCCCCCAGGAGGGAAGTGCAGAGGAGGCCGCTGGATTCCATCCTGACTTACTAACACCAGAGTACCCCCACAGTCCGCTGAGAGAAATACGCATGAATATAAAATTAAATATAATATAATTAAAAATCGGTGATATAATGTGAATTAAATCAATAACTGATACTGAAATGTGTGCTACATTGAAGCTAAATATCTGACAAAGTTTAAACGTTAAAGATAAATAAAAATGAATAATATAATATAATATAATATAATA